ATAGATGGAGAAGAATTAAATCCTTGCGGAAGACGATTTAAACACATACTGGACATTTCTATGGATAAAAGAAAACTTGTATTTGGCAACTCTCAGCCAATTTAATACTAAAAAATCCAATTTGCAATGTCAGAGTACAGAGAACACTTTCGCATTGGCATTTATTTGTGACATGATGTCTGGAGTTTCTGCCACAATGGGTGTACAACTTGGAGTGTATTTGTTTTAGCATTCTTAGATCTATCAATAATCTATATGCACTAGGGTCATCACGCTTTGCCACTACCCACAAAGGATTATTAGTAACTGAATTAGCTTTCCTGATGATACCCTGTTACCAAAAGTTCTTGTATGATTACTGATACAGGTTCATCAGATTCTGGCGGCAACTTGTATTGTTTTAATGGGGGATGGTCTTTGCCTTGAATATTAACTTCAATATCCTTGAATAGACCTACTTCATTTTTACCTTGACTCCACAGTTTTTTGTGTAGTTGTACTAACTGTTTCAATTCCAAATTATCTCCAGTATCTGGCCATTTATAGTCAGCATCAATTGCTTCTGTCAAACAGATGCTACCGACTTCACAATAATCTGCTGGGTCAATTAACATAGGCTTACGATTAGCAGAGCCTTGCCAAACAATGCCATTGGCTAAATCAAGTATCCACCCTCTTTGAGACAAAACATCAGCACCAATAATGTTCTCTGATCCTTGACAATACCAAAAGTCTATTTCCGTTTGCAAACATCCTGGTATTTCAAAAGACACATTTTTACATTTTTTAGCTTGAACATCACCTTTTCCATTGAAACCTACAACTGTGCATACTGTTGCATTAGAAGGAATTGGTATTTTCATACCTAAAACACACTAATCTGGGCTCCACTATCCAAAAGAATTGAAGATTTCTGACCATTAATTTTAGCTTTTACATAAGGGCGCCCACACTTGTCTAAGAAAATTGGAGCTACATATTCCAGACAATGGAGTTCAACTTCCTTTTCTTTTGCTAGTCATGGTGAAGGTAATAGTGGCTGTCTTGAAGTATTGGATGAATGTGAGTTTGTTCACATTTCCTCCATTACTAATTGACATTTCACTAATCTCTCTGATCAGAGGAGCGTAGGGTGAAGATGACTTAACTTCCTGTGAACGAATTGGAGCTGACGGTTCAGGAGAAATAAGTCCATTTTCTTTACCCAAATTTCTCATCTGAATGTCTTTCAAAAACTTCCTACACTGCCATTTCAAATGCCATGGTTTCGTACAATAGTAACACGTGAGTGGTCTTTGATTCCCTTGTCTTACTCTGTCATTCCTGCGGGGGGCAGCATTTCCTGTCTTGAATTTATCCTGACTTTCATTCTTAGGATAACTATTCTCAATTAAAGCAATTTTTGATCTTACATTATTTAGCTTTAATTGTCTTCTGACTTTGTCAACAACATAGGCAACATCATCCAAATTATCCTTTTCATTAGCAATCAATAAAGATGCTGGATCAAGGTACTTAAATTTTTTTACAAAATCCTTGACCATAGCAGGGGTCTCATCTTGTAAATTAAAAATCATCCTGTATGCTTTAGAAAATCTAATCCTAAAGTCAAACGGGTCATCATTAATAGTAGCTCTTAAGGAATCTAAAATTTCCAAACTAGGTGTCTCCTCTCCTGTTGTGAACAGTAATAACTGTCGTAATCTATCAGTTGCATTGCTATGAATTTCCATATCATCCTCATTCATGAAAGGAGTCTTGACTAACCTATGAGCCATAAAACTGGGGATCCACAACACAAAAATGCGATTTCTTTGCTCATCAGTTAATTGAAACCTATCACAAAAATTCTCAAAAACATCGGAATTATGGAAAGAATTTTCTCTCATGTTATATGCTGGTATATCCTTCAATATTTTCATTAACTGATCCTGAATCTGTAACTTCAACTTAGATGCTCTAGCAAGTAATTTCTCTCTCTGTACATTAGCCTCACTGCCTACTTCATCTGTACCCCTGGGTGAGTCTGGGATATATGAGGCCTGGGCAGTATCTGATTGCTTTTTTCTAGACACTACAGCTATTTGCTTATTTCTTAATATTGCAACATTTTGAGATTCAATTTCTTGCTCAAGATGTTCAATATAGGTACAAAAAGTTTCACAGTTTGCACAATTGGATTCAACAGTATCCTGCATGTCTGTACTCTGTAAGACATTTTTGCTATCTGTCTTAACAACACAAACCACATTTTTCTCTGGCAATTCAAACACCATAGAATTGAAAACTCTAACTAGCTTCATAATGTTACGCAATTTTCTTTTCATCTTATTAAACGTAAATCTAGAGCTATCAATATCAACATTAGCCTGCATACATTGATCATACATAGCCTTCCATAAACCAGTATCAGAAGCATGGCTAGCTAAACCTTGAAATTCCAATTTACTTTCATTAGCTAATGAATCAATAAATTCCATTTTTCTACTCACCGAATGCAGTAAGTTTCCTCTTTTGTCCTGGCTTAGGGACTTTTCTGGTCACCACTTGAATCCTCAGATCTCCACAACCAACGTTTTCCGTTCCAGGTTCTGCAATCTTTCCGAAGCTTAATCAATCAAGAAATAGTTCATCTCAATCCCCTCTGAAGAAGCGAGGATAAATTGAAAAAAACGTGGAAAAATCGAATGGCTGGCACTCGCCAATAATGTTAGATTTCCAGAGTTATGAAAAAACTCTATTAATATTTCTAGGTTCTTGTAGATGGTTGTAGGAAGAAATCCTTATGGAAGCCAGTTCAGTATAAGCAGTGTGACTTTATTTGATCACACACCAAAAATACAAAGTCAATAAAAAAACAGTAAATTCAGATATATGTAGCTTAAAATGAAATAAAAATAAAGAATATAAGTTGCTTGTTCCTTGAATATTAGAAGAAAATGTAGTTCCTTTGAATAGCTTAAATAGAAGATTTTCAAGCCTAGTTTCTTTCTTTGTTCTTTGTTAACCTCTTGCCATGTGCTTTCTTTGTGTAAGTGTCTGAAGTGTAGGAATGTCTGAATGAAGTGTAGTGTAGAGTAGCCAAGAAGCATCTGACCCTCGTTCTTTGAAAAGCTGCATACTTAAAATGCATGAGAAATTAAGTCCTCCCATTTACCTTTGTTTCAAATTCGCGGGCTCCTTAAACACTCCCATAGTCACTCCCTGCCTAATTGAAACATGTGTTCCTATTCAAACCACCAAGTCATTATCATGATTGACATGCAGACTCTGAAAGAGGTCTCTGAAGTTCTTATGTTACATACAACTGTCTGAATACATGATTTATGACTACAATTTAAACTCTCAGACTCATTATAAGAATTCAAAATAGAGTATACATTACATAAGAGTAGTTTTAAAGAAAAACATGACTTTAAACCTCTTACTGATTAACTTTGCTCAGACACAAATAATTCACATCTGTGATCACTAAAATGCAAAACCTCACATTCACATCCAATTAAGAGGGTATTCACTGCCAGGCATCAGAACTTACTAAAGACCGAATTAAAGTTTGGATATTAAAAATTAATATTACAGGGGTGCACGAGCACGCCCACCCGCCCCATCTGTGATTCACTTCGCCATAAGTTTGGCAGCAGTTCCCGGCTGGGACCTGCTGATCGGCTGTGTCCCAATCACAGCACAGAGCCCTGTGTTTACAAACAATACAGGGCTCAGTACACAAAGCAGCGAGGTGGCTGTTTCTTCATCCTGCAAAGTAGGGAGAAAAAACAGCCACATATTATTAGTAAAAGCAGCACATAGTACACATCGTTGGGCACACACCCCTTGATTGCCCCTCGATGTTAACCCCTTCCCAGCCGGTGTAAAGTATTAGCACTGGTCACTATGATTTCACTGGCGAGATCAGTGTCAGTTCCCAACCCAGCGTCGGTTTACCCGCCGCACTATCGCAGACCCATTATAAGTTGCTGATCACAGCCATTGTCAATATAGAAAAATAAATACAAATTCCAGTAGATATCCCGTAGTTTGTAGACATAAAACTTTTACACAAACCAATTATGATACACATATCGGGATTTTTTTTTTTTAACCAAAGAAATGGAGCAGAATACACTTTGGCCTAAATTTATGAAGAAATTTGATTTTATTGGATATGTTTTATAACAGAAAGTAGAAAATATTGTTTTGGGTTTTTTTTTTAAATCTTCTGCCTTTTTTGTTTATATAATAAAATATATATATCAATAACAAAAAAAAAAGAGTGCGGCGTGTCAGATTGCCCTAGAAATTCTGAAGGACCCTCTGCACACTGGTATATACCCTTTCAAGCAGACTATGCAATAAATAGGGATATTTAGTTCACACATATTGCAATACATGCTTAAGCTGGCCAACTGCGTCAAAGTAATCCCTCTATGGCCAGTCCTACTCTGCCCTGCCTACACAAGTGCTACTGTGGACACAATGCTAGAATAGGGGAAAAGACACAATGGGGAGAGCTACAAGGTTCAGGTCTGGCTACTGACCCAACAATACAACAAACAAGAGATCCCTGTGCTCAAATCCCAACAGCTAGTGCATGCATTTATCCATCAGGTGCTGTTGGGTCAGTAGCCAGACCTGAACTTTGTAGCTCTCCCCATTGTGTCTTTTCCCCTATGCTAGCATTGTGTCCACAGTAGCATTTGCATAGGCAGGGCAGAGTAGGACTGGCCATAGAGGGATTACTTTGACACAGTTGGCCAGCTTAAGCATGTATTGCAATATGTGTGAACTAAATATCCCTATTTATTGCATAGTCTGCTTAAAAGGATATATACCAGTGTGCAGAGGGTCCTTCAGAATTTCTAGTGTTAATATGTGGTTACACCCCTTTAGCACATGAAAATCCGCACATCGTTTCCATGAGTCCATGTACTAGATTCTCCGTCCCACCAACCTTGTAATAGTGAGGGATGGTGTGACCTTCCTGTGTGGAATCCTGGGAATACAGAGGACAGGGCTATCTCTCTGGTGGGTTCCCATGACTGGATCCATCTACCTGATGATGGTGAGGGATGGTGTGACCTTCCTGTGTGGAATCCCAGGAATACAGAGGACGGGGACATCTCTCTGGTGGGTTCCCATGACTGGATCCATCTGTAGGAAACACACACACTGACTGACTCCATTGTTTCTATGTGTATATCAGATGATGGGGGATCTAGGTGGATCCTCCGTACTGCTCTCTCCTTTCCAATAAAGTCTCCTCTTACCCGGTGATGTGAGGGGCGGCTGATTGTCCATCATGACGTCCTTGTAGAGGTCCTTGTGTCCTTCTAAATACTCCCACTCCTCCATAGAGAAATAGACAGTGACACCCTGACACCTTATAGGAACCTGACACACACAATGATACAGTCACCATCCAGACACATCCCTTGTCTGTTACTGGAGAATGTCCCAGAATTCCCGGCACCGCTCACCTCTCCTGTCAGCAGCTCCATCATCTTCTTGGTGACTTCTAGAATCTTCTTTATGTTGTGTCTCTCAGGGTTTAGGGAGTCACATGGAGGCACTGTGATGGTCATATGATCACCTGACTTCAGAAGAGGAAATCTCTGTATTGGGGAACCAATAGGAATATCATGTTAGACTCCCAGAATCCACCTCACCTCTCCAGTCAGGTCTGTGTTTTATTAATAGAGATGAGAGATGTCATGTGACCTCCCAGAATCCTCCTCACCTCTCCGGTCAGGTCTGTGTGATGTCATGTGACCTCCCAGAATCCTCCTCACCACTCCGGTCAGGTCTGTGTGATGATGTCATGTGACCTCTCAGAATCCTCCTCACCTCTCCGGTCAGGTCTGTGGTTTACTAATAGAGAATAGAGTGATGTCATGTGACCTCCCAGAATCCTCAACTCTCCGGTCAGGTCTGTGTTTTATTAATAGAGATAGGAGTGATGTCATGTGACCTCCCAGAATCCTCCTCACCTCTCTAGTCAGGTCTGTGTTTTATTAATAGAGATGACAGTGATGTCATGTGACCTCCCAGAATCCTCCTCACTTCTCCGGTCAGCAGGTAGATGATCTCCAGGGTGAGGTTTAGTATCCTCTCAGTCATGTGACTCCGGTCCTCCTCCATCCTCATTGGTCATGTGATCTATACAGGTTTCCTGTAGACCAATAATTGATAACAGAGAATGATCCGGACTGTACTGATTGTACAATATTAGGATGGGGGGGAGGGGGAATATAAGGGTGTAATAGTCGGGGTGCCTCATCTTGCACATGAAGAGGTGTACACAGCAGATTAAAGAGGGACAATAAAGGAGAGAAGTGAAGAAGAAGGAATTTGGTGACAACAGAGGGACAATCCCTCCAAATCCTTCCCACCACCCCCCACACCCCTCTAATGTGTCTTCTCTGCTGGCGGTATATAAGGACAGACCTCTTCCTGTGATGGCGGTGAAGTCGGGGGATGGGATGTTGGTGGGATGATGGGGGTAGGGTGGTCACCTCACCCCAATCTCATGTTATGTACAGATTCTGTGGCAGATGAAGGTGGTCATTAAACTCCCATCTGTGTCATTAACCGCGTAACCATTTCCCTACCGAAGGATGACTACAGAGCGGTTGTCTAGTTCTGGGACCACGTCTATGGACATCATTTTAGGACACGCCCCCCGCTGATCACTGTGTCCTATGGACACGGCTGATCACAGGATACGGTACACGGCCAATCACAGCGGCCTTTTACCATGTTATCAGCCGTGTCCAATGACAGAGGAGATCTTCGGGTACATACAGTTGCCGGTTATCAGCTGCTGCACTGTCACAGCGTGAGGAGAGAACCGGCAATTGTCAGAGGATGGATCAGCACCCATCATCAGGGCACAGCAGTGCCGCCCACCTGTGCCTATCAGTGCATCATCAGTGCCACCTACCTGTGCCCATCAGTGCAGCCGCATCAGTGCCCATCACTGCCACCCATCAGTGTAGCATCATCAGTGCCCATCAATGCCACTCATCAGTGCAGCATCAGTGCCAGCTCATCATTGCTGCCCATCAGTGCAGCCTCATCAACACACATCAGTGAAGAAGAAAAATTACCCGTTTGCAAAATTTTATAATAAAAACAAAGAAAAACTTTTTTTTAATTTTTTGCGTTTTTTGTTTATAGCGCAAAAAATAAAACCCCCAGCGGGGAGTACATACCACCAAAAGAAAGCTCTGTGTGTGGGAAAAAAAATTATATAAATGTCATATGGGTACAGTGTCGCATGACCGCGCAATTGTCAAAGTGTGACAGTGCTGAAAGCTGAAAATTGGCCTGGGGGGGTTAAAGGGGTATAGACATGATTTTACATTTCTAGGTCGGGGGTGTGTGGGGCATACCTGCACCGCCATTTGCGGCCATGGATGTCGATCATCGGGTCCCGGCCAGTGATTACTGAACATCTCCGACGGTGAGGAGGAATGTTTTGTTCCCCGTCGGCTCGGGCACACTGCACAGCACAGCCATCCAGAGCAGTGTGATTACAGTGAGGGACACAGACCCTGCTCACTATTAACAGACCCTGCCCCCTAGTAACAGACTCCCCACCCCCTAGTAACAGCCCCCGCCCCCTAGTAAAACACTCGGGAAGTGTGACTCATCCCTCTTCTTTCAGCATGTTCCACCTAGGGTGGCCACCTCATCCCTTTAAAACCAGACACATATTAATGACCACCATAATCAGCCCCAGAACCTGTGTATTATTATTATTATACAGTATTTATATAGCGCCAAAGGGTTTGCTCAGCGCTGTACAGTAGCAAGGGGGACAGAACATGAGACCAGACAGTAACAATACAATACACGAGGGGTTCGAGGGCCCTGCTCTTTCGAGCTTACAATCTAGGAGGGAGGGGAAGGTGGCACAGGAGGAGATGGCTGAGGGAGATGGAGTGGTGGGTGGAGTGGAGGAGGTTAGTTGTTAGGTGAGGTCGGGTGTTAGGTGAGGTTGGGGTAGGCTTCCCTGAAGAGGAGGGTTTTCAGGGTGTGCCTGAAGGTGAGGAGGGTAGGCGACAGTCTGATGGATTGGGGTAGGGATTTCCAGAGGATGGGGGAAGTCCTGGAGAAGTCCTGCAATCGGGCGTGGGAGGAGGAGACGAGGGAGCTGGAGAATAGGAGGTCCTGTGAGGAGCGGAAGGCACGGGTAGGGTAGTATTTGGGTATCAGGTCAGTTATGTAGTTTGGGGCGGCGTTGTGAATGGCTTTGTAGGTCAGAGTTAGCAGTTTGAATTTGATGCGTTGGGCAATCGGGAGCCAATGAAGGGATTGGCAGAGGGGGGAGGCAGATGTGGAGCGGTTGTTGAGGTGGATGAGTCTAGCTGCTGAGTTTAGGATCGACTGGAGTGGGGATAGCGATCGTTTGGGTAGGCCAGTGAGAAGGGAATTGCAATAGTCCAGGCGTGAGATGATGAGGGAGTGTACGAGTTGTTTGGTGGTGTGTGGGGTGAGGAATGTGCGTATCTTGGAGATGTTGCGGAGGTGGAGCCTGCAAGATCTAGATAGCAGTTGGATGTGGGGTAGGAAGGAGAGGTGGGAGTCCAGGGTGACACCCAGGACTTTGGCGTGTGGGGTGGGAGAGATGGTGGCGTTGTTAGTAGTGATGAAGAAGATGGGGGGGGGGGCTCGGGTGGGGGGAAGACCAGGAGCTCGGTTTTGGATAGGTTGAGTTTGAGGAAATGGATCGACATCCAGTCTGATATGTCGTTTAGGAGGTGGGCGATGCGGGCAGAGAATGAGGGGGTGAGGTGGGGGGTGGAGAGGTAAATTTGGGTGTTGTCGGCATAGAGGTGTTAATTGAAGCTGTGGGAGTGAATAAGTTTGCCAAGGGAGGAGGTATAGATGGAGAAGAGGAGGGGCCATAGGACGGAGCCTTGGGGGACCCCGACAGAGAGGGGGAGGGAGGGGGAGGTGGCAGTGTTGTAGGTGACGCTGAAGGAGCGTTGGGAAAGGTAGGAGAACCAGGAGAGAGCAGCGTCCTTGATGCCAAGGGATGCAGTTTGGCAAGGAGGACAGGGTGGTCAACAGTGTCGAAGGCCGCGGAGAGGTTGAGGAGCAGGAGGATAGAATAGTGGCCATGGGCTTTGGCGGTTAGCAGGTCGTTGGTGATTTTAAGTAGGGCGGTTTCGGTGGAGTGTAGGGGACGGAAGCCGGACTGTAGGGGGTCAAGGAGGTTGTTATCAGTGAGGTGGGCGCTTAGGCGATTGTAGGCCAGGTGCTCAAGGAGCTTGGAAGTGAAGGGCAACAAGGAGATGGGTCTACGGTTGTTAGGGTTGGTGTGGTCAAGGGAGGGTTTTTTGAGTATGGGGGTGATGTGTGCGTGCTTTAGAAGGGGAGGGGAGGGGAAGGTGCCAGTGGAGAGGGAGATATTGAAGATGTGGGTGAGGCAGCGAATGATGGAGGGGGGGGGTGACTGGAGGAGCTGTGAGGGGATAGGGTCCAGGAGGCAGGTGGTGAGGCGGGCTTCAGTGAAGACCTTAGAGACCTCCTCGGGGGTAGTTGGGCTGAAGGAGCAGAGTGTTGGGGAGGTGATGATGTGCGGGTGTAACTAATGTGTGTTTGGTTTTAAAGGGATGAGGTGACCACTCAAGTTCCAGTTCAAGCATGTGGATACAAAGAACCCCATCAGGAAGGATGGAAATGGTTCCTGATCCCGGGGATGTGGTGTTGGAGGATTAGCCATGGAAAAGGGGAAGGACCCCAGCATGACGGTACGGAGTAGCCCGAGTCAGGACACGCCTTTGGAGATGCAACTTCAAGGTCCTGCTTGGAGCACCATCGTGGTGGCAGCAGTTCCAGCTGTGGTCCTCTGCGTTGATCCAACATCTTTTACGGGGCAGGGAGATGTGTAAAAAATAACGAAACAACATAACCAGGCAGGGAATTCCAAAGGTGGAACATGCTGAAAGAAGAGGGATGATTCCCCATTCCATCACTACTGAGGTACATGTAAGTGATCTGGCTCTCCGGGGTATGGGGCGCACGAGCACGCCCACCCGCCCCATCTGTGATTCACTTCGCCACAAGTTTGGCAGCAGTTCCCGGCCGGGACCTGCTGATCGACTGTGTCCAATCACAGCACAGAGCCCTGTGTTTACAAACAATA